TGGTTTAATCTGAGAGTTGGAGGGAAGATTTAAATATATTGAAACGCTGCGTTTCATTAACCAGCGTTCTGGGCCTCAATGTGCTATCCCCACCCCCCTTATTGCTGGCCCAATTCTTTTAACTAGCGCGTGTGCTATTCCAACCCCCCCTCCCTTTATTTAATTTATATTCTTTTTAATTTTCTTTTAATATTTTTCTGTCTTTGAAAATTCATTAAAAAATGGTAAAAAATGATTTTTTAATTCTTCTTTTTTCTATGATTAGATGAAAATGTGTAGAAAATTATAAAAATAAAAATAGGATTTTATTTTTTAGTCTAGTATTTTAATAGATTTTTCTTTTAAAATAGCTTTTAATATGTTTAATTTTATATCATGATTTTGCAAGAATTATTTTAAGACCTTCCCTTAGGGTTTTTAATCCATTCTTTTTTGTGCAATTAGATGATGAATCATAGTTCCCCATAGGATTTTTTCTAGATTTTTAGAATTAAGTTTTGATTAGTTTAATTAGGGTAGATTTAGGGTATCCTAATTAGGGTTTAGATTGTGTTTAGGTGAAGGATCCCTTTCTTTGATTGAGTTTTGTCTTGATTTTTAGGTAGAGGCCTATGTAGATGTTATGAGTAGGTGTTGAGGACCCTTATGAATAATTGGTAGATTTTTCCCCATTAGTTTAGTATTTTTAGGTATTTTCTGAAGTTGCCTGTTGATTTTGTTTACCCTGTGGTTATCTGTTCATCTTTGGGGTTCATTTTGGAGAATTTGTTGTGGGGCTTGTGTTGTCTTGAAGACTTTGATGGAGAGCATGATGAAAGGAAGCTTGTAGATCAAGATTCAGAGACCCAGAGCTTGGCTTGTTCCCTGTCTGTGAGGTTTGAGATCCTGAAGTTTGAAGGAAGTTCATGGTACTTTCCTGAGGAAGGCACTATGAATGACCTTCATCCTTTCTTCTCACCTCTTTCTTAAGTATCCAATGATGTTGGAGCCAACTTGTGAGTTTAATTTCTCCTGAGGAGGAATGTAAACTGATCACATGTTGTTGAGCCACATGGGATACAACTCCTAAGTGGAAGCCTCCTAGTACTTTCCTGAGGAAGGTCCTCTGGGTCTATTCACTTAGTTCCCTTAGTTTATCTAGGATTTCTCAAGTATCCAGTGATGTTGGAGCCAACTTGTGAGTTTAATTCCTCCTGAGGAGGAATGTAAACTGATCACAGTTGTTGAGCCACATAGGATGCAATTCCTAAGTGGAAGCCTCCTAGTACTTTCCTGAGGAAGGTCCTATGAGTCTATTCACTTAGTTCCACTAGTTCAGATAGGATTTCCTAAGTATCCAGTGATGTTGGAGCCTGCTTGTGAGTTTAGTTTCTCCTGAGGAGGAATATAAACTGATCACAGTGGTTGAGCCACATAGGGTATGACTCCTAAGTATCCACCTCTTAGTGCTTTCCTGAGGAAGACACTATGAGTCTGATTGCTTAGCTCCCTGTCTTTGGTAAGCTTGTTCTGAAGCTTAAAGACTGGGATTGATCTCTCTTGTTAGGGTCCTGTTGTAGTGCTTAGATTTGATTTAGATTCTGTGATTAGGATTAGAGAATAGATGACTCTTTCTCAAGCAGGTGTTTTGTTTGCCTGAGGGCACTTCATTTCCTTTATCTGTTATTGCTTGATAGTATGTTGGTTGCTTTCAGTATGATTGCTGTTATTTCATGACTGGCTTGAGGTCGAGACGAGCTTGTGGAGGCTGAAGCCCCACACACATTTCCTCCCTCACTTGCATTGCATACATTTTACTGTTAAAGCTGATGCTTTTGTCTGTTTTGGTGTATCATTGACATGATCCCTTAGGACTCTCATTCCTTTGATAAGGATTTGATGATAGACTTTTAGGTTGAAACCTATGCATGACAACATCTAGGAGTTCCCTGTTCAAACCTCAACCATAGGATGAATCCATGGCATGATAACAGTAGGACTTGATAGTCTCCCTCCTAGTTGAGCCATTTTTTTCCGTAGTTTCCCGAACTACGTTTGCTCTGATCTTTCATACCAGATGAAAGTACGTAGGCATAGGATGCGATATCCTAGCGAGCAACCTTCCAACCTTTCCCCGTAGTTAGCCGAACTACGTTGACTCTGATTTCTCGTTCCAGACGGGAATACGTAGGCATAAAGCGCGACGCTTTGCCGAGTCATTTTTCTTTTCTTTTCAGCCAGCCTTGATAGGTAGATAGATTATAACCAACCCGTCCAAGTAAACAAACAAGCGAGGATCCCGTCGAGTACGACGGACGTGAGGGGTGCTAATACCTTCCCCTTGCGTAACCGACTCCCGAACCCAGACAATGGTTGCGACGACCTTGTCTTACCCTTATTCGTCAGGTTTTTCCGATCGTTTCCTTTCCCGCTCTGAGGGATAAATAACGAAAGGTGGCGACTCTTCTGTCATGCCGGCACCTTATTTTCGCGCAAGCGACAGTCGCCAGTCGAGGACGAAATTATCTAAACCATCACCTTGATATTAAGACATGAGGGCTTGTGGGTAATTGTTCTGGACCAGCCATACCACTCTTTATCCAACCACCTTGAGATAGAACACTCTAGATCAAAACACATCAGCCAACTACTCAGTCACATTTCTAGGACCTTCCTCTGACCACTGACTATCATGTACCCCCGCTGTAAGAGATCTATACCTGAAACACATTGAACGGTCCTCCGGATTCCACACCTAAAGGATGGTGAAGTCGTTATCCTTATTCCGTATATATAGGAAATAAAGTCATTTCAGGTAACAAGTTTCAAACACAATTTAAATACTCTCTACTCTTTCACATACAGACTTGAGCGAAACTCTACTCTGTCGTAGCTTTCGCATCTCACTTTATTTTTTATACCAAAACGAAAAACTTTTACTCCAGATTATGTGTATGCGAATTGTATCAATCTTTTAACTTTTTCTTGATCAATTTGAGATTCTCCTGTAGAATTAACTTCCCCAATCCTGTCACCTTCAAATATTTCCAATGTTTTAAAAACAAAATCGTGATAACAGTACAAACTCTTTCAACAATTTAACATACGAAATGGTTTTGGTCTTCAAGTGACTCATATAAAAATATGGGACAATGATCATAGAGTTTTTTTTATCAAGCACCCATTACTTACTTGCTGACCACAATCAAAGTCACTCTTTGTAATAAGAATTTTGTCCAATCTGACTCATCGTTGCACCATGTAATTTAGACCATGGAAATTTTCTGCCTTAGAGTGGTAAATCAATTTGATATAATCCTGTTATGAAGTCATCTAACTATCTCATCTAGTCTCTTTTGTTTTCTTTTTCCGATGAACCTCTTCTTTCTTCTTTATGGCATTAAAATCTCCTAATAAGAAATACACACTTTGTTCATCTAAGCTTATAGTTCGCGCTTTTTTCTTTAACACACAGCATATAAGTTGACTAAATTAATTTATTCATATCAACCCCATCTCCCTCCAATGCAAAATTTAAGGCATGTGTTTTTTAAACTGAAAAAATTTAATTGTCTCTAATCTTCATAATCCTGTCATACTCTCTCCGTCTCATATTATATCTAAATTTTACTTTTTAAATATATTAAATAATTAATGTATTTAATTTATATATAAACTAAATATATTAATCATTTAATATATTTAAAATATAAAATTTATCTATAATATGATATGGAGTATTATCTCCTTAAGATAAATTTAAATACAAAATTGAAAATTATTAGAACCTCACAACACGCAACAAGCTTTCCTATTAATACTCTTATTATTATTTTTTGAATATCGGTTTCTAATTTTGAATGAATTTTTAAAAAAATTCTTAGCCATTCCTCCTAAATTATAATTCCTAATAATAATAACTCATCGGTTTTTTTTTATAAAAAAAATGATAAATAACTTCTGCTCTCAGAAGAATCCACCTGAATTAGACTAGCCTTTCATTTATTAATATATCATCTTTTTGCTGCTTAAAAAAAATTAAGGGTGTAACTTGTGTCTAATATGCGTTAATCTAGAAAAAGGTTAGTAGTTGTTTTGTGGTGGTCCTCGTCATAAAGTAAGAACCCCACATGACCGGCCGACCTAAGAGAACACAACATATTTTCTTTATCTTTGTGACACATCTGCGTGGGAGGGCCCATTAATCATCAATCACTTTTAACAACTGATTTTTAATTATATGCCCATTAGAGCTATATAATTATAGCATGGGAAATAATAACAGAGCTGCTTTTAACAACTGATTTCATTAAAACTGCAGCGCATACTGATAGGGAATACAATGGACTGGATTGTGATAGTTAAAAAAAAAGTATTTTTTTTACCAATACGCCATATATCAAAATCAAAAGTAATACATTACTACAAGTTGAAAAAAATCGACAAATGTGCCACGATTATTGAAATGGCTCGTCTTTCTATTGGACGACCCTATGAAGGATGCATTACTATGAAGGAACTTGACCAACTATTGGCCGATTCTTTGAAGATTTTTTTTTATAATTATTTTAAATATAAATATGAAATATTTGTTATGGTTTTATATATTTAATTGTTTTTTAAATATTAAAAACTCTTTTCATTATTTAAAATATTAATAACTTATATAATAGATATATAATTTAAGAAATATTTTTAAAAATAATTTAAAAAACAAATAAAGTAATTTAGACGGGCCGACTTGACGGGTCAGCTACATTCAGACATTTTCTACGCATATGGTCAATTTTTCGACATATTCCACATCTTCTCTTTTCTTTCTCAAGATCGTCAATTTCGGTTCTAATTTGTGTACTATTTGGACGCCCTTTCTTATTCCTTCGCATTGTCTCGTCGTGGCAAAGAGCGAATCCTTCATATGTTGGTCAATTTTGGTGGTGTGGAAGTCCAAGGAAGCTTTCGTTGTAGACTTTGAATACACTCAGAACCTTGAAAACATCTGGTATGTGCATGTTGTGGTCCTATCGTATACCGGCACATGCTGCGTTTACATGGAAGCAAGGTAAATGAAATGCTTGAAACCTCCCACAATCGCACCACCCTCTCTTGAGATCAACGCTAAAAGTACATAATGGTTGGTCATCATGTTGATTAAAGCTTTCGGCAACCATAAAACAGAATCTCTCGCGATCAAATTGAATGACATTATGGCTGCTAGATTTACTCGTTTCGTCGGTCATTCCCTTATTACAATTTTCCGTGAAAGTTTGACCGGATGCAAACATTTTTGTCAAATCGTGTCCTCGTTTTCCAAACAGCGATCCCAGACGATAGAACGTTGACTTGACCAATGCTGTAATATGAAGGTTTCGGGTAGGCTTAAGTACCGAGTTCATAGCTTCGAACGCCCTCGACCACTTCTCTCTGAAAATACTGTTTATCCACCCCAAAGCTGCTCTATTTGTTCTTCGTATTTCGCCCCGATAGTAGTTAATTGTTGCCTCCGTTAGTGCATATCCTGTAGATGAAAATGTTTAAACAAAATGTTCAATAAAACATATGAAAATCAATTAGTCAATAAATATTTATTGAAACATCAACTCGTGAAGATGTAGGCATACCCATGTTGACAACTGTTTTCCGTAGTTCTTTGTCTCTGAACTCACGCATGAAGTTTTGCACAATGTGCCTGATACAGTAAACATGTGAAGATGGAGGATACTGCCACCAATTTTCAGGATCATCGTAAGCACTCTAGATTTTCATATTATTTTAATCAATTAAATAATTATTTAAATATTATAAAAAATATTTAATAACATTATAAAATTAATTAAATTATTTATTTATTAACATTTTAAATCATGAAATGAGTTTTTAATATTTAAAAAATAATTAAATATATAAAATCATAATAAATATTTTATATTTATATTTAAAATAATAAAAAAAACAAAAAAAAAACCTTCAAAATCGGCCAATGGTTGGCCGAGCCCCTTCATAGTGTTGCGTCATTCATAAGGTCGTTCAATGGAAGGACGGGTTCTTCAAAAAATCGTGGCACATTGGTCAATTTTTTTAACTTATGACAATTTAATACTTTTGATTTCAATATGTGACATATCGGTAAAAAAGAAACTCTTAAAAAAAATTTCTCTTTTGTATTTTTTGAAGTGGTTTTATATTAAAATAATTAAATTGTAGAACTTATTTTGAATTTATGTTATATAAATTATAAGTTAATTTTAACGTTTAATAATATTATTTTGAATCGGTCAAAAAGTCTAACAACTGCACTCTAAATAATGCAATAATTCACCGACTCTCTTCCAAGATAAAAATGTTATCTTAGTTTATAAATGTGTCATTTTATAGTTACAATTAAATTTTGAATTTCATTCACATGTACTATATATGATTATCATTTAAATTTAAATTTCATTTACTCAGTACTATATATGACTTATCATGTAATATAATAAAATGAATGTTAAAATATTAATCTTACATATTAGCCGAGTTTATTGAAAGTTCAATTTCACCATATTCATAATTTTTAATTAACTCTGATTTTTTAACGGAACAAATACATATAATTAAAAATTGAAACATAATTAAATTCATATAAATTTTTAAAATAATTTTATAAAATGTTATTCAAAATATTTAAATTTAAATAATTTTTTAAATATTTTGATATTAAAGGTTAATTATAAAAAATTGATAAAATATCTGAAATGTTTATAAAAATGATAAAATATCTGAAATAACTTTTAATTTTTCTTTCTAATTTTTAACGAAAATATTTTTTTAATAATGTACATATTTAATATATTTTTTTCAAAAAATTAATTAGCTATATCTTAATAGGTGAAAAAGATATTATTTTTTAAATAATTTATTTATTAAAGTGGTAGTATTTATTATGAGAAAGTAGAGTGCTTCGATTTGAAAGAATTTAACATCATATATATAGTTCAAAAAATTAACAAGGAAAAAAATAATTTTTGTTTACAAATTTCTGATACAAAAATACACATGGGGTGAAGAAACAATAATTTCGACAGTTCTCTGTCTTTTCTCTAAATTTCTTTGTCACATGAATTGAGTTTAAAAACTTTCCAACAACAAATATTAAGAGCATCAACATTAGAATTTTAATTTTAAAATAATCATTTTTTTCAAAAGAAAAAAATCCTCAAATAATTATATTTTAAGAAAATATATATTAAACTAATCAATTTTTTAATTAAAAAAAATTGACCCTCAACAGAATGAATCGCTACTTGTAATGCATGCGTTCGTTTTTAAGTCGTAGGCGTCAATGTCATTGATGCATGCTCATTGTCATGCCAATGACACGCATAAATGCAACCTTTAGAATATGTGTCATTGCTTGTGGCTCTTATGTTGTTTTTGGTTTTTCTATATATATATATAGGTCATTTTCTTTATGACATTTCTCACTCATCTTTTAATTGTGTTCTTACATTTTTCTTCAAAATATCGTCTTATATTATTAAGAAAAATGTCAATTTAATTTATTTAACACTAAAGTATCTGATGAAGATCCAATTTTAAAATACGAAGACTTTCAAACATTCAGAGAACTTTGATCTGTTGGCTGATAACACGAAATCATATAGATATTTTTATGCATAATTCAATTAAAGTCTAACCATTTTCGATCTGATTTCGGGTTATTTCCGTGTTATTTGTCTGATGTTTTGCAGGTATTCAACGATCACGCCTAAACAAGGCAACATGAAGAAAAGAAGCAATCTCAGATGAAATATGGACGAAAAAGGAGTGAAAACACAATGAAAAGCGCAGGAAGCTGTTTTTACTGATGTGACGACCGTCACAGCTACATGACGAGCGTTACACGGGTGACGACCGTCACACCTTGTGACGACCGTCATGCAGGCAAAAACGCCCCACCTCAATTACACGTTAAAGAATCAGTTCCAATTCCCACAGAGTGGACCATGACTCCCTAAATTATCTGCCTCAAAGTCCATCATCTCCAAGTATAACCGTTGAATTCCACTTCTATAAAAAGGCAAGAAAGGGACCTCAGAAGTGGTGCTGCATTCATACAACGAAGTGCTGCCAAATTTATTTTCCAGAGCATATTTTCCAGCAATATTCTTATTTGTTTCTCTTTACCTTTCCTGTATTCCATTTTTCATTCTTCTGTAATTTCTACTTGTACTGTACGATCAATTTGGCATTAGAGATCAGAATCCTGCCAACATCTGTGGAGGATCTGCCCAAAGGCCAATTGGAATATTTACAGGTTTCTCATTTTAATCGATTCCAGTTTTACTATAATGCAAATCATTATTTATTGTTTTTATTTATATTTTATCTTTCCCAAATCCATGTCTAGCTAAACTTAGGTAATCGATATGTAGTAATAATTCGAATGGGATTTGATAACAACTGGTTGAAAAACCTTCTTTTCAAAAGTAACTTATGGTCTGAGTGTTTAAAATTGATTTACTAAATAAACTTTGTCGCGAAAGCGAGAACTTATTTAAAAGTAGTTTTGCCACGAAAGTGGGAAATTAATTAAGATACGAACCAACAAGCGAAAGCTGCGGTAAGGTCAGATAGTAAACACTAGTCATTCATTTTAATAACAGCGAAAGCACTTTAAAATGAATTAGAACTTAGAGATTTCCAAAAAGTAATTTTAACCCCGAACGGGATACGAAAGTGTACGTTTGGCCCTTAGGATTATGATTAGCGTCAATAACCATCGTGAGGCGAGAGTCTTCAAATCACCATTTTCTGCTTAAATAAACTTTGAAAATTATTTCATACACCAGTAACTTATCAAATCCCTGAAGAACACAATTACTACGTATCGATTCAATCATTTATAATCCAAATAGTATTCTTAGTTCCCTTTTAGTGACAATCTCATTCCCTTAAACATATTCTACCTAGCTAAACATAGTAACTCCCGAGAACACTAGTTTGATTACGAGTCCCTGTGGGATCGATATCTATTATTACTACGCGATAGACTGTGCACTTGCAGTTAGGTTGTATTAGACATAAAAAGTCGCGATCAAGTTTTTGGCGTCGTTGCCGGGGACCCGTTTAGTCAATAGTGTAACCATGTGTTACGCCGTATAGACTAGGTTAACAATTTTCATTTTCCCTTTACTAGTTCTGTCGATTGTATGCCAAGAAATCGCCCGCAAGGCGATATCGTAAAACCTTCAGTCGCAGAATTAGAACGCTTCTTACATTTAAGAAGTAGAATCATTGAGTACCAACTCAAACAACTCAAACATAACACTCCCGAACCTCTCACTCCTATTCCTAAATCAGAAGAAGAAGAACCAGAGATGGCTGAAGGACCACCAAACAAACCGCTGAAGGCATACGCTACACCATCTCAGATGGAGCCTAGAAGTAGCATTGCTGCCCCAGCTATTACCCGAAATGATTTTGAGCTGAAACCATCATTACTGTCGGCTGTACAACAAAACCAATTCTCAGGAAACGCAACTGAGGATCCGAACGAACATCTAACGAAGTTTGTATAATATGCAGACACAGTGAAAGCAAATGGAGTAACTCCAGACGCGATAAGACTTCGTCTTTTCCCATTCTCTCTTAGAGACAGAGCGTGGACATGGTTACAATCGTTACCATCCAACTCCGTTACGACATGGGAGCAATTGAAGAACGTCTTTTTAGCGAGATATTTTCCGCCAAGCAAAACTGCCATGCTTAGAGCTCAAATCAACGGATTTCGACAGAAAGATACTGAATCTCTTTACGAAGCATGGGAACGATTCAAAGATATGATGAGAACATGTCCTCACCACGGTCTAGAAGACTGGGTGACAATCCATACTTTCTATAATGGGCTTCTATACAATACTAGATTGACAATACACGTTGCCGCGGGCGGTGCACTTATGGATAAGCCATACGATGAAGCCTATCAATTGATAGAAAACATGTCACAAAACCATTGCCAATGGGGAGGTGAACGCACTCCAACTGAGAAAACCACAGCGAAAGGTGGGATGTACGAGATCAACAGCCTTGAAAAGTTCAACGCTAAAGTAGATGCTCTAGCACAGAAGATCGATAGTCTGACCGTTAACCCCACTGCAACTGTCGCTGCAGTAACTCCAAATTGCGAGTTATGCGGAAGCACCACTCATAATGCACCCGAATGCCCATTGCTAGCCGGAATCCCACCAGACCAGGTAAATTATGCTCAAGGAAATCCCTATGCAAATACCTACAACCCAGGTTGGCGAAATCATCCAAACTTTTCTTACAAAAGCGAAAATGCATTGCAAATGCCTACTGCTCCGCCAGGATATCAGAAACCAGCTGCTCAGAGTGCACCTAGGAAATCGAACCTCGAATTGATGATGGAAAAGTTCATAGCTACTCAAGCTCAAACAAACAAAGAATTCTTGAATCAAAACATACACACTAGCGAGCAAATTAAACAGTTGACAGGAAAAGTAGACGCTTTGGCCACCCACAACAAAATGTTAGAAACTCAGATATCACAAGTGGCTCAACAACAAGCCCCTATTGCCGCACGTGCTGGCACATTTCCTGGACAACCCGAACAGAATCCAAAAGGCCAAGAAAATGCTGTGATACTAAGAAGTGGAAAAGAATTG